TGCTGCTAACCCATATCTGAGACAGCTTAGGGTTGCTCTTAGCTGTTCTACGATCTATGTTCTCCAATCAAGTCAGTATTTTCTCTGTTACTTCTAATAATTTTTGAATTTCAAACATAATCTTTTGCAATGTTAAGGTTTCTTTTTCACTTGTAACCACTGCCACTCTGGCATTCAAAACTTTTTATTAAATTTAAAGCAAGTTCATTTATATCTTTCAAGACAAGTCTTTGTTTTCACTCCACTCCAGCTGCCAATAAAGCTCCCAAAGAGAATCTGTATAAACAACCCATGCTCTTCTCACTATCACTCTCCGTAAACAAGCTGAGTAACCTTGAAATGCAAACTCAAATGATCAAAGAGAAAAAAGAAAAGACAATATTTCCAAACCTTCCAAGCCTCCAGCCTCCAAGTGGCAGTGTTACTTCCTTTCCCTCTGTTATTACAGTCCGCTTTGTATTCCTTTTATATCTTCTTTATAATCCAGGCTTAAAGAAAACAAAATTCTTATATGGAGCAACTCTTCCCTGTCACTGTCTCTTTGGGACGGTTTAGGTCCAAAAGGACCGTCCAGCGGCAAAAGTATCGACTGCGATCTTGGAGCTCCAAGATCGTACGTCGTTTTGTTACAACGTCAGCTCCTTCTTCCCTAATAAACTAGTTTTTAAACTACGTCCTGCGGTTGTTGTTGTTGTTTTTAAAAAAAGCTTTGAATCTGGGATGGATTTGAGTATAATGGATAATTATCAAATGCTGTTGCTAAAAACTACTGGGTATAGACAGAAGAATGTTTTTGTCAAACAAGGACACTGGTGAAACAGTCTGAACCTGAGGGGAGGAATATGCCCACACCAATCTGAACTGGACCATAGTGCTGGGGGGCTCACCCCAACACATAGTGGCTCGACATAAGTGTGATTGACAGAATGGCCATTAAAGTACATCAGAAGGTACTCATGGTTAAGCTCCTACAGTTTGTTGCCTGTTGATGAGGGAAAACATTTTGAACTTAGAACAGCTAAGAGCAACCCTAAGCTGTCTCAGATATGGGTTAGCAGCAAGATGAAGGCCACCTCATGTGGTCACAGTACAGGAAATATGTTGCTATGTCATGCTTTTGGAAATGAGGAAAGACTCTTAATGGGAGATATGTTTATTGAGCTCTACCTTATCTTCTGTTACAGGAGTGGTAGCGTCAGTGGGCTGACACTGAAGTTGATGAAGACCTCAGTTTATGATATGTTGGACACCCTCTCAGATGATGACTACGTTAATGTTGCTTCTGTGAGTAGCCAGCCTGCGGTGGGAAATTAAGGGGCAATGACAGAGGTAGCTTTCCACCAACATGGCATCCACTAGTTTGGCATTGACTAGATTGGGAAGTCTAACTAAAAAGATAATAAATGCTAATATTCATAGTAGCCCCTAGCGTCTTTAAAAATAGATTTGTTATGAACCAATAAGTTGGCTATATTTGCTTTTATATCTTTGGTAATGCAATGCTGAGTAATGCCTCAGTCCAGATTTTTAAAAAAATGGAATGCAGACCAAGAGAGTTTGGCGATTTGTGCTATGAACACAAAGGAAGTAAGATGCAGAATCTAATTGTTCTTCGTTGTAGTGTCATCCATGGCAATAATTGATGGGTTTCTCTATTACGTATAGATTCTCTTAATTACATTATAGATATAGATACATGCATATACGTATAACTATAAAAACATACACATATTCTTTCTTACATAAAAATGCATGCTCAATTTAGGAAAGAGCAGATTGAATGATACTAAATTGTACTACAACCTATTGGTAACCAACGTGTTATAACTGTGTATATATTTAAAATTCACAGCTGCATCCCTCTATTCTGACATAGGACAAATAGGTATTCCCACAGTCTACAGGTTTATAAGTTAACCACAAGGAAATATCAGGTGTATTGTGGCAATTCATACATGCCTAAAGATAGTGAAAAAGAAAGCTTGCAAGAAATCTTTGCTCTCTAAGGATGTTGGAAAACTTCATTTATCTGAATTTGAATAGATTGAAAATTTTCACAATCCAGACAAGTTTTTTGGTTAGATTTTGCACTTCTCTGAATTTTGCAGCACATTTTTCTTACAATCCAGTCCACCCTCATCTAGAACATTTGACTGAAAGAGTGTCAAATACTGCAATAGTAATAATATACAATGATATATAATCATTTACATTGGAATAACAACTGCACCCCAACGCATGCTGTAAATACTTGAGAATACATTACCAGTGTAGATTATTGTTTTTGTCAATTAATTTTCAGTCCTATTAGTTAATAGTACAATACAGTTAGTTCATGAGTTATGATCACAATTGAGCCCAACATATATGTTGCTAAGTGAAACATTTGTTAAGTAAGATTGTCCCATTTAATGACTTTTCTTGTCACATTTGTTAAGGGAATCACTGCAGTTGTTAAATTAGTAACAGGCTTGTTGAGTGAATCTGGTTTCCCCATTGATTTTGCTTGTCAGAAGGTTGCAAAAGGTGATCGCATAACTCCGGAACACAGCAATGTAAATCAGTTGCCAAGCTTCCAAATGTAAGTCACGTGGCCATGGGGATGCTGCAACAGTCATAAGTGTGAAAAATGATCATACACTTTTTTCAGTGCTGTTGTAACTTTGAAAGGGCACTGAGTGAACTGTTGTAAGTCAAGGACTACCTATAGTGGAGCCGAGGTGGCGCAGTGGTTAAATGCAGCACTGCAGGCTACTTCAGCTGACTGCAGTTCTGCAGTTCGGTTGTTCAAATCTCTCCGGCTCAGGGTTGACTCAGCCTTCCATCCTTCCGAGGTGGGTAAAATGAGGACCCGGATTGTTGTTGGGGGCAATATGCTGACTCTGTAAACCGCTTAGAGAGGGCTGAAAGCCCTATGAAGCGGTATATAAGTCTAACTGCTATTGCTATTGCTATAGTACAATTTTGGAGAAGATGATGGTTCACAATTCATACTGGAGTCAATCTGTTTCGCTCATATAAATTCAGCTTATACCAGTGGCAGGCATGATAGTCCAGGGGACAGGAAAGTGAAGATGAAAGAACTAACCACTCAGGAACAAGATAAGTATTTCTAGACTAGCAACAAAAGAAGTTAATGATCAAAGCTGTTATCCTGGATTTGATGGGGTGCATTTATTGCCTGCTCTTGCACTTAGCAGTCTCCAGGAGTTAAAAGGATAGCTTCTCTAGGAAACGAGTGGCTGAAAGCATCTCAAACCAAAATGCCACATCGGCCCTACAAAAACAACCATGCTCTTTATTTGCCTGATTTGTTTCCTTGTATAACACGGGATGGGGGGGGAGAGAGAGAGATGCCCGTCAGAGGCCTTGGCTTCTGCCTCGTGCACCTCCTGCAGCCCAATTCACCATTTCTGTCACCTTTCCTTTTCCCACACTCCTGACTGTTCTTTGCCTTTGATCGATTGCAAATGACAAAACACACCTGCAAGAAATAAATTGCATCCTCCTCCTGCCATTTCTTCTGTGTCAGCTTTGACAAACCGTTTGGCTTGCACAGGGGTGGTGCTTTTTGGTGGAAATTACAGGGAGGGCGGGGGAGGGATGCAGCAAAGCTAGCAGGTATGACAAGGATGAGGAAAAGGAAAGCTTTGACTGAGAGGATGATGGCTCATGAAAGACGCCGGGTCCTTTCCTGGATCTGGGTTGGATTAAGGTTAGTTTACAGGCAGGAACACGTGGTGGGTTATGGATCAAGAATGGAGTTGGAGGCTTCAGCAAAGCTGAGCTCATTTTAGAAGTGTCTTCCCAAGCTGCTGCCTCCAACTGGATGGATACATGAAAAGGAATATCTAAGGATCACAGCCACTTGTTCAACAGCTTCTTTCTACCTGTAACATCCTTGTCCCTAATCTAAAAATAGAGGGTCCTTTTTACCTGTTCTTCCCTGCTCTCCTAATCCACTGGCAAGTGTAAAGCTTCTGGAACAGGAGAGGTGTTCTTTCATCTCTGCTGTGGCTTGAAGGAAGTAAGGAACAATCTAAATCTACTTAAATATCTCTGTGAATGACGTTCTGCTCTCTAGCAAACACATGGAGCTTTATGGGAGAGGAAGAGGACTCAGCCATTCAAACTGAAAAGCCTTCCTTTTCTTTAAAAAAAAATCAGCTCAAGGAAGAATAAAACTTTCCTCTCTTCCAAGTGCCCTATAGTTGTTTGAGACAGGGTATTTTTGGGAGGAGGAGGGAGGTGTCTTGCTTCCCATCCCTCTTTATCTATTTGATAAGGGTTGGCAGAACCAGTGGTGGGTTGCAGGCGGTACGCCCTGGTATGAGCATACCGGAGCCTGCCCGGAGCACCGGATACCATGCTCCAGAGGGCCTGCCCGAGCTCCTTACCGGTCTTTTAAGTCTTGAGCATTTCCGTGCACGGCGTATAGAGTCTCTGTGATACTCTGCTGAGCAACTGGAGCGTCATGGAGCCTCACAGAGGTGGTAAAACGCATGTGCGTGCTGCACGCATCCATATGGACGACACCGGGCCCGTTCCAACCATACCGGTTGGAACGGGATCCGGAACTCACCACTGGGCAGAACTGTAGGCTTTCCAACTCTCCATTCCTTATTCTAGAATGGGCTTAATTGTCAGTAAGCCTTTAGGCATGATTTACCAAGTTCTGATACTTCATTGCAGACAAAAATTAAGCCACTACAACAGAATAATCTGCCTGCTATGTTATCTCACAGTCACAGAGTATGTACTGTATGTATGCATGTATATTTGCTCCATAGTTTAAATTCTAGACTTTCCCCCTCCACCTCTTCTTTCTAATTTAATAGACCTTTGGCTATTCTTTTCAAGGTCACAGCTGGAATGTGTTGACACTAATGTCACTAGTCTGAGAACCATTGGTCACTCTTACACTAGCTTTCTTCTGAAGATAGGAAGGAATGGTACCGTCACAGCTTCAAGAAATGCTCTCGGTAGCAATGATGGGAAGTGACAGAGAGATGGAGAAAGCAGGTGTTGCTTGTAGAACAGCACAAGGAAATGAATGACTTGATGCCCTTTGCCCTTGCTGACTGACAAGTACTTGACCTGACCTTAAGCTAAACGGGTCCCAGTGGCCAGAACAGCTGAGGAAGGGTGTCTTCAGTGATGAAGATCCCACTTTCTAAGAATGGTTCTGTAGCCTCATGCCTGTTGAATATCAGGAAAAAAAATAGGAGCATGGTTTGTATAATACTCATCCTATACATGCACTGACATTAATATTTGTTTGTTTATTGTTCCATCCTTTAACATTTTTCTCCCTCTTAAGCCTTAAAGGGACAGATCCTATGTACAGTATGTATAGTATGTATACATGTGAAGGGAAGCTGGCAGTGGGTTCTTGGCACTGTAGGAACAATCTTTCATGTGCTCAAAAACCAAAAAAATCTAAAATATCATTTATTATAAAAATAGCAAATATGGAATAAAAACAGTCAAACAATCTTAAACCCTGACATTTCAGCAAGAAATGAATAGACCTTGGCATGAGAAGAACAAACTTATGACATCCCTACCTAAATGGAAGGCACTAAATTGAAATTTGTGGTGCCATGATTTTAAAATTCAATTCAGATGGATCAATCTGAATTGAATTTCAATTCAGATCCAGATTTCTGTTGAACTAATATTCTTTTGAACTAATATAACTAATGCTTATGTAGTATCCTATGACAATCCCTGTTGTATCTTATAATTTATGATGAATGTATTTTTACGATGACTATTATCATGATTTATCACTTTTTGTTTGTATGTACACTGAGAGCTTATGCACCTGAGACAAATTCCTTGTGTGTCCAATCACACTTGGCCAATAAAGAACTCCATTCTGTTCTATAAGAGCATCCAAGAGGCAAGCCTGAACTGTAATTAGTTGACATGCCAATTTTTCCATCTGCCATGAGTTATTGGTTTATTACTGAATCCCAAGCTGTCATAATCCTAGCCACATCAGGAACAAATAGCAAGTGTACTGTTTTTACTCCAAACCCTGATCCTGAGAGCTAAAGACAGGGAGAAAGCTTGAGGAATTGCCTTCTAAGTACTTTTCAGTTTTGTACTACGTATTTAGGTAACTTCCTGAATACAATACAATAGCAGAGTTGGAAGGGACCTTGGAGGTCTTCTAGTTCAACCCCCTGCCTAGGCAGGAAACCCATCAGGAATCTTGTTCTTCTCCCCCTCAATAAAGTCCTGTAAATTTGCTCTTTTAATAAATTAAGGCACACCATCATTCTCTGTAACCCTCTCATGTGCTTGTTGACTGGCAGAAACATGGCTGGCCTAATTAACAAGTCTAGCCTCGTTACTTTTGCTGGATCACTGCCTTCTAAATTAATGTTCTGTATTTCCAGCAAACTAAGCCATAAGCATAAATGAGTGGGGTTTTTTTTCAGTTCACCTGCTGGCCAAACTTTATGCAAGAGAAGCCGGCTCTATTCCAGCAACCATTTATTATAGAGCACCCACTTCACTGAGCCTGTGACCTTGTGATAAGGCATTAAAATGTCCTGCAAAAAAACATGTTTGGGCAATCCCAGTTATGCTGTCCACAAATTCATTCAATTCTCAATTACTCTTAACAGGAAGGACGGTTTTGGTTATTCCTTAATGCCAGTCTATTCCTACAGAAACCTGAATTCAATGTGGTCCCATCAGTAAAAGGGCTGTAACTCCCAACAGGGGTGGCGGGACGAACCATGTTTATTTCAGTCTGTCCTTTCTGTACTTCTTTAACACAATCTTATCTAAACTGTCTTTCCTTGTGTGATTGGAGTTATAATCAGCAATTCTTCCTTTCACAAGAGGGTGGGGGGATCATAAAATATCTTCTCCAGTGGGCATATCTGCTGTGCACTTGTTATGCATTTTAATTGGCATACTTTCTCCTAGAGAACCCTGTGAATTGCAGGCTGCAGTGGTAATGGAAATATCAGTTTGAGGTCATTGTGTTCCTTCCCCTTACAAAAGAACTACAATTCCCATTATCCCTAGGTTACAGTTGGCTGAAATTTAGTATTTATCTAAATCTAGTATTTATATGCCCACTCATGGAAAAAAAATAGTGATAGATCTTGACTGCTGTTTGATCTCTCTCAAAGATGCACTCACTACCAATTGAGACTGGTATATTGCAATTGATCATCATCATGCTGCCCCTTTGCTGCCTCTTCTCTTGCTCTTACATACGCACATCCTTTATAGCTGAATCTTGATCAGCACAGCTGCAGAAACTTTATCAACTGGAAGGCTTCCAATATTTTGAACTAGGATATAATCATATTTTAAAGGAAAGTGGGTCTCTGAAAGTAGTAGTAATTTTCTTCTGACCTTCCTTGACTTCCCAATTGATTGTCTCAGCTGACTTGAGTATGTTATCATGGCCCGGTGTTATTCAAAACATTTACGGCTCTGTTATTCACTAGACGCAGTTGGGGGAAGCTGATCAGATTCCCAGCTTTTTCATGGCATCCTTAACCAGTCTAATGGATTATAATTTCCTGTCTTTCAGTTTAACCAAAAGGCGCAACCTGTGTCCTGCTTCAAACATTTAGTCCAAGCTAATATCCGCAACAAGAAGGTCTTCAAAGAGGATGTGGAAGGAATGGAGGCCCAAGGAACCACTGATTATAAGGCTGGCTTTGAATATGCCTTTGAGCAATTGCAAAATGTAAGTCCAGGGTTTAAACTTGGGAGAGTGAAAGGCTAAGCATTAAAATGCCAGATTTCAAATAAGATGGAGGCAACAAAATATGGAGCTGGAGAAGTAAGGGCCAAATTTGATTTAAAAAGTCATATGAAGAATTTTTAATGTTCTATTTGCTGAAAGCATCAAAGTGCAGGTTCCTCCCAGTTCATCTCCAGCAACTGCTATCAAGGGGGGAAACAATGAAAAATCTCTATATTTATAATTTTTGCTTCACCTTGACAAGTCTAAGAGCAGAAGGATTTCTGGAATGTCATGTTTGTGTCTCAGATTCTCATAATATTATTACTGTGTTAGAAAGTAAAAGGGATTATCCTAAGAAGCTTCTCTGTTGGTTCAGTTTTCCTTGATGAGGCACTAAATAAATATATATTGGACAACAATCTGGAAAAAAAATGAACTTCAAGTCTTACTCAGCCCAAAAAAACCCTCACTGGTGGAATTGGTTTGTTGCTGTAATAAAATGAGGAAAGAAATCATGCATGCAGCTTTGGAACAAGAGAATAGAAAAGGAATAATACTCCTAGGCCACAAGGAAAGAAAGAAATCCATTGCGTTTACTTGTAATTACAAGGTTGTCCATTTTGTCTGGAAACTTTTCAGAACTCTGGACAGAGCACTACATTTTTACTTACATGTGCCTCTTGTGACATTTGCTTCTTGTCGTTTTTTTTTAAATCTTAAATTTGCCATGATTTCTTCCTTCAGCCTTGGGAACTGCAGCAAGTTATAACACTCAGTGTGGCCCATTTTCCCCACACAGTCAAATATTTGATGGCAGCCACAATTCACTTCCTTTATTTTGTCTCCCTAGGTAGATGCAACCTTCTAGTGTGCCAACTGCAGCTTTGCTCTTAAGCTTTACTACAGCTTTCATTACCATGAGAACCCAGCCTAGCACAACATTCCACAAACATTGCCTCCCTTTGCTATATTTTGCTGTTCTGCCGTCAACTTAGCATACAGATAAACACTAGCCCAGCACAACAGACGTTGATTTAAAATATATATTAAAGGACCATGAAGGCTTGTGGAACCTGTCATTTAAAGCTACAATGATTTCCCCTTTTAGCTGCAAGTTCCAGGATGCCTGCATCATAGGAATCTTTTCAGAACAGAGACAGCTTACTGTATTTTAAAAATTCTGCATGCAATAAAAAAATTGCCATTTGTAAGCACAGTACATTGTAAGCACATTATATATTTGTATTCCTCTAGGTTGCCCCATATGTAGATCAACTCTCTCCCAAAGTACTCAAGATAAAATACAAGATTCTTTTTTACACCTATCAACCCTATGAGGGAGTTGGGGGATTTCTACACCTAGCAACCCTGTGAGCAGATTAGACTAAAGATAATGACTGACACAGTCACTAAACCTGTTTATTGATTGACAAGGGTTATTCTGACCATATTACAAGTAGCCCTCAATTAACAACCATTGAAGTTAAGAACGTCCTCTCCGCCCCACCCACCCCCCCAAAAAGGTACCAGTGACCCAGTTCTGGAATTGTAAATTGAGAACTACCAGTACTACAAGCAACAATGCAAGCAGCCATTGCTTAAACACTGCTATTTTGATCATGCCACCAGCAAGAGTAGTTCATTAGCCAAAAAGACGTCTGAATTGTATCTCCTGTGTGCAAGCAAGGCACATTTAATTCCTTCCAATAAATTTCTAAAATGCAGGACTGTATCCCAATGTCTTATATTAGCTCTGTCTTCTGATATGCTAGAACTGAAGGATATTTGCCCATCCAACAGCCTGGCATCTCTGGAACTGCCTTCATTGCAATTGTTCCCTGAAACATCCAATTCTTAAGAGGCTACATGACAAACAGAGCTGGGACCTTCATTATTCTTCTTCCTGATCATGTGAGAGGTTGAAACCAAGGATGAAGTTTCAGTGCTGGGTGCTTTCCCCTAGATAAATGAAAACTCCAGCAGCTGGTACTTAAATTTCATTGGAAACAGCTGCCTCTTCCATTTCATTATAAAGTTAGCAGGACCCATCTGAGAAGACTTGGATAAGAAGGGTTATAATGACGTTGGACAAAATAAAGATGAATAGCTCTATTAAATGCTGAGCGGTAATAGCCATAACATAATTTCTGTCCCGACAGCAACTCCTTCTCCCTTGCTCATCTGTACCACCTTCACCTCTGGAGAATAGCTAAAGAAAACAGATGTCTCTCTGCCAGTGTCTTAGAGGACAGCAACCAGAATGGGAAAGAAGTAGAACTGATAGCCTTGATATTTATTGTCTTTTGCTCTTTCCCATTACTAATATCCTGTTGTTGACATCTATCAGGAAGTGGCCTCCTAGGAACACATAAGTATACACACACACACAGACACACACAGACACAGACACAGACACAGACATATACTGCTTCCCCTTAAGATTGCAACCATACATTTCCTTTCATTGGCTTATCCAGAAGTCTGAAAAATACACCTCAATTGAATGGAGTTCTGTATAGGAAAAATATATGTGCTAATGCATGTATGTCTGTATGTCTGTATTTCTGTAGTCAGCAACCTGTGTTGTGTGTGTTTGTTCTTCTCTTTAGATAGGAAATGTATTAGTCCAAAGTCTCAAGTAAAATTGATGGGGTCTGAAATTTATACAAATGTGCAGAGTTCAAATTCTATACTGAAACCTGCATTTTTTTAAAAAATAATAATGATGTTTATAACTCAAACATGTATATGGGAATATGCATATTTAAGAAAAATATGCAAATACAATTTTATTAGGAAGAAGGATACACCAAACCACATTCAGTTACAGAAAAAAATGCTTGAAGAAGCCTTATTATATATGTTAAATGCCAGTTTCCCACCAATAATTTATTTTAATCAAGTACCCTTACAAATACAGTTATTATATATAATGTTATATCTCTTCCAGAGAAAAAAAACAATGTACTTAGCTCTGTCTCCTATACTTGCTAAAATGTCTGCTTCTTATTTATAGTCCAACATCACAAGAGCCAACTGCAATAAGATGATCATGATGTTTACTGATGGAGGAGAAGACCGAGTGCAAGATGTTTTTGAGAAGTATAATGGACCGAACAAGACGGTGAGCATCTGAACTTGCCCTTGACTATATTATGTCCCCAGGTGGGCATCTGCTATTGCTACAACCACTTGTATGTCTTTTCATGTTCAAAATCAGATTGGAAAGTAGTATATCCAGATGGTCTATTTCTCAAAGGGTCCTAAAGGGAAGACCTACTGGGATTCCTCCAGGAATACCAAAATATCAGCATCTAATCCTTTCCCCTTCCACAATCCACATCCAAATCATGGTGTAGTTGCAGCTGTGTCTTCTTTGGTAATGCCATTGCCACACTACTAATTCCATTCTCAGAGGCCAGAAATTGTATACTGGATTTTCAAATTGTTGCCAGCTCCAGCACTATGTTTCAGATATGTCAACTTTTGAAATCAAGACTCTAAATAATGAATAATAGATAGAATGCAACAGAAAGTCAAGCACTTTATATAGATACACAAATGCTTTCTTTCTTCACTAAATATGTAAAAATGCCATTTATATATTTACTAGAAAATGCTAAATCAGCTTATTAGACAGAAAAAGACCTCACATTGCTGCATTTATTAGCTTTCAGTCAGTAAAAAGGAATCTCTTCTACATAGCCTCTAAGTCAAAATAGACAGTTAAAGCTCTTAACTATCTGTTCTCCTAAAAAAAAAAAATTTAGAAAAGTTCTGGATTTCACCTATGCTTTAACAGAGCTGATTGGGCAAGTCTCCACAAGGACATAATGAATCAGGATGGTTTTATTCTTCTACCATAACAATCACATGTTGTTACATTTCAGATTCAACAAACATGTTTAAGCTCATAAATTCAGTTCTGCCTGGGGGGCTAGAAAAGGGGATTCAGTAAAATCTATTCTGTAAAATCTACAAAATCTATTTTTGTTTTCTGCCAGAAAAATTTATCCAATTGAAAGGGTATGCAAAGTAAAAATAATAATGAAGGATAGAAAGAGATGTGCCAAAGCAAAATATGATATGGCCAATATATTAAAAAAATTCAGGCAAAACATATAACGAGACCTGGCGATGGTGAAGACCAGGAAAGTTAAAAGAAAGAGACAGAGAAGCTAATTCTGGCTGCACAAAATCAGGTCTTAAGAACAAATGCATACAACGCCAGAATTGAGAAGACAGCAACAGGCAGGAAATGCTGTCTCTGCAATGAAAATGAAGAAACAGTGGACCACCTGGTTAGCTGTTCCAAGAAGATCACACAGACTTCCTACAAACAATGGGATGACAAAGTAGCAACAATGGTCCATTGGAAGATCTGCAAGAAATACTATTTGCTTGGAAGCCAGAATTGAACCAGTGGGACCATGAAATAGAAAAAGTACTAGAAAATGAAGACGCTAAAGTGCTCTGGGCCTTTAGAATTAAAACAGACACCACCTGCCTCATAAAACCCCAGAATTAACAAATGTCAATAAGACAGGCAAAAAAAGTCAGGAAAGTGGACATGGCAATAGAGAAGAGAAGAGAAAGAACAGGAGAAAAATCACAAAATACAAAAATCTGCAAACAGAAATAGAATGTGACAAAAGAAAGCAAACATAGTATCGGTAGTAATAGGCACCTTGGGTGCAATCCCAAACATCTGGAGCACCACTTGAACAGCATCAGCATTGACAAAATCACCATCAATTATTGCAAAATGCAGATTTACTTGGGATAGCTTACATCCTGTGATGATACCTTTAACACTGTCTAACACCAACAACTCCCTATCTCAAGTCCTTGGGAGGGATTCGATAGACAGACAAAAATGCCAAATCCACTCTAAACCTCTGGCTGACTATGCGATCAGCCATAATCCAACAACCACTTGTGAACCCCTTCCTCTCCTCATTCCCTGCCATTATTTGTCATCTTCTGAATGTTCATCCTTTGCCTCTCGTGGGTCTATTTTACAACAAAGAAAATGACTGCAGTGGCTAAATTAAATACTCTTGTTCTGAATGCCCCATATGCACATTTGATTATTATATTTTTTTTTGCTGAAGAAAATACAGGAAAAGTCAAAAATTGCCTGTCTTGTTCGACTGCCTATACAATGATCATCTTTTTCAGTAAAGATTTCTGTGTGAGTCAGTAACAACGCCAATGTAATCAGATCCTTGAATATAGGATATATTCCTATAGAAATACCAAATAATTGAAGACCCAGCTGTCTGATTTGCTTTGATTCAGTCATGGGGACAGACGGGAGCAGCTAACTCAGGTTTTATCCGCCTCATTTGATGCCAGCTATTTAGACAGTTATCTTCCTACCTGTCTGCTCCTGCACTGAGCCACTGCCCCTTTAATGGGGCGTCTAACATACCAGTACTGGTTTTATTGCTTGCGCTGACCTTGAAATGCCAGAAGGAAAAGTGGACAGAACTTCCTTTGAAAGTTTGTAGATCCTGTTTCTACAAGAAAAGGAATGCATTTTGTTAATATGTTGGATTTTTGAGATACCCCATCAAAGTCTGTATGTGAAATGTTAACCTGTTAATGGAAGTTCAAATTAAATGGCTTAGACTCAAAGTCACATAACTTTTTTTTTACTCTTCATGTTCACTCTTCTTTCTCCCTCTTCATACAAAGAAATAAAGGAGAAGGTTATGTTATGTTTTTGGAGAGGATGCACTTAGCATGAGTAATAGAAAACTTGTAAGTATCCAAATGTTACTGATTACAAATAGCAACAGTCCCCAATCACTTCTGTGCCAGGAGGAAGGAACAAAGGAATGAAATTAAGAGAAAGAAAGAAAGAAAGAAAGAAAGAAAGAAAGAAAGAAAGAAAGAAAGAAAGAAAGAAAGAAAGAACAAACCTCACTTTTCTAACTTATTTTATATAAGTCTTATTAATGTAACTAACACCTAGTGGGCATTAGAAGCAGGACAGTTGTCATGATTCCTTCAAAATTCATCCTCAGTTTTTCAATATCTAAATTTAATTTCAGTACATGTATACAGCTGAGTATGGAAATTAACAGTGAAAACCTGGATTTAAAAGGTGAAAGTGAGGATTAATTTAACATCCCCTGAAATGTTTTAGAGAGGGCAAGAAAAGAACTCCAGTATTTTAATAGGTCCAAAGTAGAACCCAGTTCAGTTTGCCTAATTGATTGGGAGTGTGAGATGGCTCCAGGGAAAGGCTTCAATTTATAGAATTCAAATTCTGCAAGGTGAAGATGATAGAAGTTGTAATCCAATGTGATTAGAAAGGCCTCTCGTTTGAAAATCTGAATTACAGGGATTCCCTCCAGACAATACTGTATCCATTATTCCCAGTAAGTAAAGAGAGGAAGCACAGAAGACTTTTCTTTAACCTCTGCAATTTCCGGAGGAGATGTGTAATGATTGGATCAAGAGAAAAAATAGATTTATCTATACAGTATACTTAAATATTGTGGATGGTAAATATAAACAAACATAATAGCATAAAATATTCCCCAGGCAAATAACTATAAAATCATAATAAACATAACAATAGAGAATAAAAACAAAAGTAAAAAGAATAAGAGCAATTGTGGATGCTACTCAGTCTAATTATTGCAGCATTGATACTATAAAGTTGTATAGAGTCTCAGTGGTGCAGTGGTTAGAATGCAATACTGCAGGCTACTTGTGCTGACTGCCGGCTGCTGCAATTTGGCAGTTCAAATCCCACCAGGTTCAAGGTTGACTCAACCTACCATTCTTCCGAGGAGGTAAAATGAGGACCCAAATTGTTGGGGGCAATATGCTGACTCTGTAAACCGCTTAGAGAGGGCTATAAAGCACTGTAAAATGCTATATACAGAATATCACAGAAAAGAGTACACCCACTCACATTTTGTAAATATTTAAGTATATCTTTTCATGTGATAATGCTGAAGAAATGACACTTGGCTACAATGCAAAGTAGTGAGTATACAACTTGTATAACAGTGTAAATGTGCTGTCCCCTCAAAATAACACTACATACTGCCATTAATGTCTTAACTGCTGGCAATAAAAGTGATAATTTCCAAATGGGGCCCAAGTAGCCGTTTTCCCTCCCTGGTGTCATGTGACTCATTCGTGTTACAAGGTCTCAAGTGTGAAGGGGGAGCAGGTGAGTTAAATTTGGTGTTATCGCTCTCACTCTCTCATACTGGTCACTGGAAGTTCAACATGGCATCTCATGGCAATGAACTCTCTGAGGATAGCCTAGGCTATAAGAAGATTGCCAAGACCCTGAAACTGATCTGCAGCACAGTGGCCCAAGACCATACAGTGATTTTAACAGGACAGGTTCCACTCAGAACAGGCCTCGCCAAGGTCAACTGAAGAAGTTGCTCAGCGTCATATTCAGAGGTTGGCTTTGGGAAATAGACGTATGAGTGCTACCAGCATTGCTGCACAGATTTAAGGGATGGGAGGTCAGCCTGTCAGTGTTCAGACCATACACTGCATGCTGCATCAAATTGGTCTGCAGGACTATTGTCCCAGAAGGAAGCCAAAGCACCTGAGGTTAGAACAAGAAGCAATGGGTGGAAATTAATCAAGGAGAGAAGCATCTTAGAACTAAGGAGAAATTTTCTGACAGTTAGAACAATTAATCCGTGGAACAGCTTGTCTCCAGAAGTTGTGAATGCCCCAACACTGGAAGTTTTAAAAAAGAGATTAAATAACCATTTGTCTGAAGTGGTGTAGGGTTTCCTGCCTAAGCAGAGGGTTGGACTAGAAGACCTCCAAGGTCCCTTCCAACTGTGTTATTCTATTCTATTCTATATCAGCAGGATCATCCCTTCCCTTAAAGATGCATTCTCCACTACCAAAGGCCACCCATATATCCTTTCCTGGGAAATCTTTCTAACCTGCATGGATCTAACCCATAGAGGCTGACTTCATGACTCTGAGAATTCATGTACCATCACAATGAGGAGCTTTGATGGATGCTATAGGCAGGATATTGGAAAAGGCTCTATGTTTTACCATTCTTATTGCCATGAGTTAGGTCTTATCCGGAACTCCAATACATTCTCAGTTAGATTCATTCCTTGCTGACCTCCAGCAGCTCTCTCAGCATGGAATGGAACAACTCAGTGCAACCAAATCACCACAGCCAGCTCACTGTGGGACAACACACCACAGGACAATTCAATAAATACAAAAGTTACATTAATTTCAATGGAACCATGGCCAATAATAAAATAAAGAAACTCAATCCAGAAATACAAGAGTTACTTGTATAATTTCAACAAAAATGTTAACACCAATAATTAAAATAACTGAATGAAATTATTTATACAGCATTTGGCTATGGCGAATTGGCTATGGCGAATTGTCCGTTGGCAAGTTAGGCCATGGTGAGTTGTCCTAGACGCCTCTCAGTATCTCTTTAAGATACAGTAAGGCTTTTTCACATTTTAGGATGAATGGCAGGTAGATGTGACATCATTGTCCTATTGTCCTATTCACGTGGTAGGAGTTTTTGCTGGTATTTGAATGGGCATATTGGTAAATTTCATTTACAAAAGTTTATAATGAAGGCATTTAAGTATGGGATAGAGTAAGGGAATGATACATTCATTTACCCCCTTTAGTAGACATACTCCTTATTGGTTGGTTGTTTTGTTCCAGGTACGAGTATTCACCTTTTCTGTTGGACAGCATAACTATGACGTCACTCCCCTGCAGTGGATGGCTTGTGCTAACAAAGGTAGGTTGCCTTCTCCTGCCTCTTCTTCAAAACGTTCAGTTTTGCTCAGGAGCAAAATTGCCATCTCATACTGTAGTATATGAAGTGGGGGAATGGGACGTACTCTTTGCTGGTCAAAAATTAGCTTGCTATTTTCCTGAGATTGGTGTGCGGCAACTTGTCCCTTTTCACTTGGGTCACAGCTATTTTTTTGTATTTTGATGAAGGGCTGCTGCTGATGGGACCTGAATTCCTAATAAATCTGGACAACATCTGGAGGGAACAGTTGATATAAACAGTTGATAGATTTATATTGGAAGAAGGGGGTATTCTTTATTGAAAGATTAAATGATTAATGCACTAACTGCTTATCTATTTTCCAGATAATCTTACCTAGGAGAATTGTAATATTATTTAGTTGAAAGGGATCAGAAAGATTATAAAGCCCAACCCATTTCAGTAGGAAGATTAATTAAATCACTCATGAGAGATTATTCCCATGCCTCTTCTACAAACCCTCCATCCAACCCACAACTTCCAAAGGTACAACCTGTTCCATAGTTGTACAAATTAGTTTTTTTAGTACTTATAGTATATGAAGTCTACCATGTTTCCCCCAAAATAAGACCCTGTCTTACATATTTTTGCCACCAAAAAGGCACCAGGTCTTATTGGGGAGGGGAGGTGTCATCCACTAACTCACCTCACTTGTGTGCATCACCTCTGGCCTCCTTTTCACTGTCAGAGACCTTCAGGAACTTCTTGGGCTTCAGATAGTTGCAGCCAGGTCTCGCACACCTTGGACCATTTCTTCTATGGCCAGCAAGGCTTTCCTGAAGGCCTCTGTAGCCAATAATAGAGCTCCAGATCAACCCGGAGCTCTATTATTGGCTACAGAGGCCTTCAGGAAGGCCTTGCTGGCCATAGAAGAAATGGGCCAAGGTGTGTGAGGCTTGGCTGCAACTATCCTAAGGTAAGCATTAGGGCAGCTTCACCCCTCCCATCCCCACCCTAGCTTAATTTTTACCCATGCACTCTGGAGACGGTGGGGGCTTAATTGGGGCTTAATTGGGGGGTAGGGGTTATATTGGGTGCACGTGTAAAAATCAAGCTAGGACTTACTTTCTGCATAGGTCGTATTTTCAGGGAAACACAGTAGGTAGCTGCAACTTAAACCCATTATTTCTGGTCCTACTTTCTATGTCCATGGAAAATAGTTCTTCACCAACTATATACCAGTAATTGACAAGTGCGTATATCTATTTTTTTTGGGGGGGGGGGTGGATAGGAAAAGAGATAGATGAAAGTAATTCCAGACAAAGGAAGTTCCATACCAAAGACAACATTCAGCAGTTTCATCTTTTGCTCTTTAAACTGGATTGGAGGGGGGGGGGGTCGGCTTTGGCGTGTTTCTTTTGAAGAAAGAAGGAATTCTAGGAGAATCCAGGAGAGCCATATGTGGAAGATGCCATTACCAGAATTAATAGAATTCTCACTTTGTGTGGAAAAAGTGACAGGGAGGTGAATTACACAAATGAAAGTCTGGATAATACGAAAACCTGTATACTGCTAGAGAGTCTGTGGATATTACCCCTTGGCTCATTTCTTCTCTTACTCCTGATAACTAATGTAACCACAGACCCCTTTATAAGGTCCCTGAAGCTGCTTCTCACCCCAACCACTCCTCTGAAGGCTGGTCACATTCAGACAGTCTTTTAATCTCCTCACCTTCCTCTGTATCTGAAACCTTCTTGCTGTCTCTCATTTATCTGAAATTGCCTTGTGTGCCCTTTTGTTCCCCAGGGCTGGTTTTCTGTTCACACCGTCTGTATATTTCAGCAGGTGATGGAAGTCTGTGAACCTTTGGGCTGGCAGTAATCCATCTTCCCATTGTTCTGTCCTGTGGAAATACCTCTAGACATAATAGCCAAGTGCCCACTGCTCCCTTTTATCCACACTGCTCCCTTGTCCTTTTCCCTCTCAGATCAGCAGTGCACGTAGCAACTAATTCTCATTGTAATTCTAATGTTACTCTCCCTTTTAGGCTTTAAGTATTTCTTCCTTCTTCCAGCCGTCATCATGCATCATTGTATGTCTCCAAGTGTTTTGATTGCCACCACATCCAAGTAGAGAAGCTTAGTGAAAAGAAACTTCTAAGAGTTTTGCTCAATTTTTATTAGCTGCTGCCATTTTGTGGCCAATTCACTTTTTTTTCATATCATCCAGTAATGCGGGATCAGAATCAATTGCCAAGGTTTGCTTTCAACTTTTTAAAAAATCAAGTTTGAAGAAACACTGCTATTTTTTTTTTTGCCTCAACTGCTTCACTGAATTAATTAATTTGTGTAGAACAAGGCTTACCAGAATTAACCCAGAAACTGATGTAAATACAATTCCAGGTTATTTGAAGGAGAGGGTGAAAATGTATTCAACTGTCCTTTTGTTGCTGTGCTCCAAGATGTCACTGAAATCTCAGTTAACTAATAAGGTTACCCAACTGAAATAAGACATTTGAAGCATCTTTTCACTGATTATTAATACTAAACCAGGAATCTTCACCCCAGTAATCTCCAGATGGGTTGGGACAGTGACTCTCAAGAATCTCCAGCCATTGTGCTAAATTAAACACACCCATTTGTCTTTATTCTCCCAACACTTTTTATTTTATTTTATTTATTAAACTTGTTTGCCACCCATCTTTCAATGTCCCTCCACCCCCTAATATTTACTTACTGTTTATTCATGTGAATACCTGATGCTCATTCGCTGTCTCTCAATAAGAATATGAATAAGAACCTCACACACTGTAACCTCTAGCTTCCTCCCCCCCCCCCAGAGCTTAATTTTAAAAAAGAAAGCGATTTTGACAATTATGTAAGCCCCGTGGACTTTTGTTTGTTTGTTGACTTCCTTATTTTAATGACTTGTAGATATAGGAACCCCTTCAGCCTCCTTTTTCCATATTCTCTTTAAAGAAACCGCCTGTTTCTGACTGAAGGTTCTACGTGCTGCTTTGTTCTGGCAGCCTTTGTTCCGAAGAGCATGTGAAGCAGGAGGAGACCCTTTGTTTCTTGAGAGTTTTGTAATCTCCTGCTGCTGATCCCCCAGGTCTGGGTTTTTGGCATCAAAGATATTTGGACAGCAACGGTGACATCATACTTTGGAAATCTCCATTGTAAACAGCGGGAACCTCTGAAGGAGAGAGAGAGAAAGATGTAGGTAGTTAGAACAAGAGGAGTGTTCTATTGTTACTGATAGCAAGCTACCACCAGAACTTTCTCAAGAATAAAAAGAGCCAACTCCTTTCGAAATGCCACAAAGGGAAAGCTTGTGGCTCCATTGTTGCACAGCAGAAGCTGCATGAAGTGCAAAATGATTGAGTGGGCAAGAAAGAGCAAGGGACAGAAATCTTGAGAAAGAAAGGTTTTCTATAAACTCATTGGCATCCTTCCGTCTCAAAAAACTATGGTATCGTGATCTGGAAAGAGGTCCTAAAACAGCATCTGGTGTGGCTAAAAAGGCCTTTTCGAGAGTGGCAATCGCTTCCACACTGAGGGCAGATACATTCTGTCCCCTGCCCAGATTTCGCTGGTTCCGGGACTGGCTTTTGCCTCACCCTGCCGAACAAGTGTCTCTTCAAATTGGAGAAGGCCATACTGCCTCTTTAGCCTCCAAGCTGAACAATCAGAGGTCAAAGTTTCCCAGCTGTTAGTGTCCATTCCCAAGGACTTTAGATCCCTCTTGCAGATATCCTTATATCACAGCTGTGGTCTCCCTCAGCTCCCTATATTTCTATAAAATACATGTTCAATTATTATATTAGTTAGATGGCACATTTGGAGAGCATCAGGTTGGAGAAAGCTGTCGTAATACCTCCAGCTTTTAATCACAGGAGGGAAAAAAAACCTATAACGAAAGGGGAACATGCAGAGTAAACAAGGATAAACTGTTACGTCGTATATAAATCTTTGTGACTAGAAATGATTTGTAAAAAGAGCACCAAGATCTCAGGAGAAACTGCACTTACTTTACAGTCCATCCCCTTAAGGCCACAATATTTCTCTGGAATTACATGCAATCCCATGGCTGGATTGAAGTCATTCCAGAAACATTTAGAAATTGCAATGAGGTAGGAAAGAGAATAGACATTGATGTGAGGTGAAAACTGTTGAGGTACAAGGGTGTCAAACTTCTGACCTTTAAAATATCACATCTTCAGCTGAGGCAGCTCCAAGCCTTTCATATGGAATTGTTGATTTGTATATCATTCCCACCCTGCTTCCTGATTTAGGAAGAACAATGCTGTGGATTTTCAGAACAATGTGGGATATTTTTGCATTGCTTGGGGTATAGGAGTGGGAATGGAAACTATTTGCCACTCAAAGACCATCTGCATTCATTGCCACCATTAATTTTAAAAAGAGAAAAAGTACCACCACAAATTTGTAACTGGGTGTTAAATCTGCAGTTTCATCCCAGCCTATATCTTAATCCCTCATTCTATCCAGCAGTTGAGGCTGGCATGGTTAGTACTCTCCCAATCAACCTTTTCCACATTATTTTGTTCTTTTATTTCTCTGTGTTACTTTGATTACAAGATTATTCGGTGCTGAATACATGATTTACACCCCATTAATATTCAGTCATATAACAATCTGGAGAATTTTTGGAAGCAATTCCGTTTCAATATAATATGACATTATCATCTAACCACTTCTGAGTCTGAACAATCACCACTCCCACTCTTAAAGTAATTTCCCTATAGCCCCAGCAGTACAGTAAAAGCTCAAACCATACAGCTTAAGCAGCTTTCAGTCCACAACAGATCTCAAAGTTGTAGCGACAAAGTCTATTTGGGTTCTCAGAGAGTTCTGCTTTTTTCCTCAGAATTGCTAATTAAATTGGTCATCTGAATTGAAATGGTGGAGATAAATTTATTGCATCTTTCTAGATCAGTCCTTCGACATTTAGGTCTTGGTGACTGTAGCTATCTTGACTTCCCTGTTTACAAAATTGAAGAAATATAATGGCACATCAAGTCATTTATTGCTGATGAATTTTCTGTAAATGAAAAGTCAGAGGGAAATAAACAAAAAAACTCTAAAGTTCACAGGAAGACTGCTAAACAGACATGGTGACTGCAGAGGCAGATGCTGTAGAGAGATGGAAAGTGCTGGAGGCAGTGAGGGTCACAGCTGCCAAGAGCTGGACTGGGAAGAGATCAGAGCAAATGGGCCTGATGGATGCACTGGTGCTAGAGAAACAGGCATGGCTTTGAGGCCCACATATTGTTGTTGTTGTTGTTGTTGTTATCCATCGCATTTCTATTATTGTTATAATACAATTGCTAGTTGATAAGGTATTTGTAATTTGTCCCATGTTCTACCTGCATCCATATAAACAAACTGTCTTCCCCTCCCTCTTCCCACCTTATCCAATTTAAATCCTACATTAGTTTGTGCAATCTGATGAAGAAAGCTGAAATGCAAAAAAGCTTATGTCTTCCAGTAACATTGGTTAGTTGGAAATGGGCTAGGATTCCTAATTTTTCCCACCATGGTCTAATGCAAGCTCTCCTCCTACGATGTCTAGGCATCTTTGTAGTTTTTTTCTGCTGAAATTTAGATTTAAAACTCTTAAGAGCAGGGATCAATTTTTTCTGGTGCTTATGGAGAGATGAAAAAAGAAGAATTTAAAGTAGACTTGTTCTGCATATGAGAAGAATGTACTTCATCACTGAAAATATGTTTATTCAAGCAACTAAAACTGAAATAGAAATATTTAAAAATGGGCTTCCACCTGCCTTAGCTTAGATTTGGAAGTGAATCTTCTCTCATAAGATATGGGAATTCAGTTTCAACATCCTTCTGTGTCTCTCTCTGTACCCCCTATATGTGCACACATACCATGAAGACTATATAAATGCATGTTCAGGTTTTACAGTCTTTGGGAGATCTATATTTAAAAGTATTGATTGGGGGAGAGTTGCAGATGATTCACCTCACATACTAGCAAATCTTCATCAGCAGGAGAGATGGATGCTATACAGTATTTTTAGTCTGTGTAGGATTTGAACTTGGTGAAGTTGTACATTGTAGGTTTACTGGAGGTATTAATTAGTTGATTGCTGGAATGGAGTTGCCTCTATTTTGATGGGTCCACTTTATCTGCTTGCTCTGCGTGACCTGGATTAGGGATCTGCCTGGGTGGTCCGTCTCATCCAATGAATATTGCCACCCAGTCAGGTGTCTGAAAGAAGCCAGTGACTGCTGGCAATTGGTGGAGAGACAGAAGAGGAGAAGATGCTCTTACACATCACCTGTCAAGTTAAAGAAGTAGGTGATGATGCCAAAACAGGTCAGCTGAGTTGAATCCAATCAAATTAAAGGCTCAAGGCCCTCCTTAAACATGATTGTATTGGCTTACCTCAATAGAACTTCTGGATTTTCGAGAGGAAGCTGTTTGGGAATGGTGCAAGCAAAATTTAGTAAGCTTGAGCTTAGTTAACTCATTGTTGCATGTAGCCTCCATCAAGTGTGCCAAATATTGGATTAAAAAGACAATTTGGTCCTGAAAACCAGTTCAAAAGATGATGCTAAAAAAGTTTCTAACATTAATTTTGTGTTGTTTTTTTTAAAGGTTATTATTTTGAAATTCCTTCCATTGGCGCTATCCGAATCAACACTCAGGTAAGAAAAGACAGAGTGTGAACTCAGTCCAAAATATTTCATTTGTAATGAGGATTAGGAGGCAATACTGTAGAGCTAGAATTTGGGTTTTCTTCTTTTCTTACAATTGCATGGAAGGCAGCACTGAGGCTTGCACTGGAAATCAGGAGAAATTGCCACCCGCTTTTTTTTCTTCAATAGAAATTTGTTGAATACAAATTTGGAATTCAGTCCTTTATATCTGATAATGTAAAAGAGAGAGCCATTTGTAAGTCACTTAGAGCAACTCCTGGTACATTTCTTTTTTTGTTAGCACTCTAAATCAAATCACTACAAAGTGAAGCTTATCTATCTATCTATCTATCTATCTATCTATCTATCTATCTATCTATCTATCTATCTATCTATCTATCTATCTATCATCAATCACCATGATGGCAAACCTATGGCACACGTGCCACAGGTGACATGCGGAATCATATTTGCTGGCACACGAGCTATTAGCTGATTTTTGCCCTTTTGGGGAGCGGGGGAGGCCATTTTTGCCATCCCCAGGCTTTAGGAAACCCTCCGGATCCTGGGGAGGGGAAAAAATGGGCCAACCAGAAGTTTGTTCCCAAACTTCCCAAATCAATCATTCCTGAACTTCCGGTTGGCCTGTTGGGCCCGTTTTTTGCCCTCCCTCCGGACTTCAGGAATGCCTCAGGGGCCTGGGGAGGGCAAAAACTACCCTCCTATGTGGAGGGGGGTCATGCACGCATGCGCAGGGTGGTGGTCACACACAGATGCACAGATGGGTGGGACACACTGAATTGTAGGTGTGGGCATGCACATGCAATAGCACATCCGCACACAATTTTGGCATGCCTTTACAAAAAGGTTCATCATCACTGATCCATCATCTATCTATCTAATTTATGTAACTATATACTGCAAATCCATATCACCAAAGGTGACTCTGGGTGTCTCATAACTAAAGAGAAGACCATGTATCACAATGTCTATGGAGATTCTCAGTCATCCAGGTCTTGATCGTCTCAAAGGTGCTTTTTCAAAAGGTAACTGGACAATGATTTTTTTCCCTTGAGGAAGAAGGCGTTTCGCTTCTCATCCAAGAAGCTTCTTCAGTTCTGACAACAGAAGAATCTTTTTGGATGAGAAGCGAAATGTCTTGTTCCTCAAGGGGAAAAAAAACATTGTCCAGTTGCCTTTTGAAAAAGCACCTTTGTGATGTGTATCACAATGATACTATAAAAGATAAAATTCATTTTAAAAAATAAGGTTTGTGAAAAACAAAGATAAAAACCCTAGGCAAACAAAGGATAAGAATAACCAGCTCAGCAGTGGAGCCATCTGAGCAAGTCTCGAGTAACCTGAAAGCTCCAGACCTCATGATGTAATCACTTTATCCACCCTGGTTCAGTACTGGACGATAGATGTTTTTCAACTTCATAATAGAGACCTGAGAGTAGTTAACTGGCCTAAAGCCAGCTAGCCAGCCAGGAGTCACTGTCCTGGCTTCTGCATTGATCTTAATTGCTGCACCAAACTAGCTCTCACTGATAGAAATAGAAAGACAGACAGACAGATGTTATTGCGGACCAAGATAGAGATTGCTATTGACCAAGGCAGTGTTCATGTGTATGTCTTGATCCATAGTATAGGGCAGGGGTCAGCAACCCGTGGCTCTGGAGCTATATGTGGCTCTTTCATCCATCTGCTGTCACTTCCTGTTGCCAGTCAGTGCCACAATTTAGAGACGAGCTTCCGGTTTGCAGGGGGAAACACAGGAGGAGACTCTATGGCACAGAGCAGGTTTTCTGGTCAGCTCCACAATTGATAGTCCTTTCGGTTAGGACAGGTAAAGGAAAAAGGACGCTGCTCTAGGAGGAGACTCTATGGTGGGGGAACCAAACTTCCAGTTGGCTCCAGAATTGAACGGGGGGCTTCCAGTTAGCATCTTTGTGGCTCTTTGAGTATTTAAGGTTGACAACCCCTGGTATAGGGAGTCCTCAACTTAGAATTGTAAAGGATGTTTTCCAGTAAAAGAATATAAATCTTGTCAAGTGACCATGGAACACTGCAACCATCTATAAAAACAAGCTGATTGTCAAGTGCCCATAATGGGGGATGGGGTTGCCACTTTGGTGGGGTACCTCTGTCAACTCTGGAACTTGGTCATAAGTACCATGGGGAGTGGGGCATTAAAACTGCAAATAGTCTCTAAGCAAGACAATCAGTAGCCCATTTCAGTGGAAAGAATTTAGTGTAATTTGTATAAACCTGCACACCGTAGTTGTTGAATAAGTCCATTATTTTTCTTAGTGCTTGAGGGAAATACTGTTGATGCAAACTCTAACTGAAGAACTGCACAGAGAAAGTGATAGATGGCATTGTTCAGAATTTAGTTTTTTAGTTTAAGTTTTTTCTAACGTTCTCATTTCAAAAGAATTCAGGGTTTTATTTAAGTTCAGTCCTGAATCTGGCAACCATGCTGTACTGAAATATGAATGCTGAGCATTGCCCCTGACAGGCTATAACACAGGAATGGATCAGCCCCACCGCAACATGAATTGACTTTGAAGGAACAAGGTGATACTAATAAACTCAGTCAGTTTCAGCCTTTCTGAAACATTCTTGTCCCCTGACAGCAGAATTTGAAGTTCTAGCAAATGTCTCCAGTTCTCCAATCAGAGCTGTTTTATCTGGCAATATCATGGATTGCCTTTTTCTGTGTGCAAAGCACCATTGTTTAATAAAGCCATAGCCATTTCTTTAAGAGGAATATCTTCCATACATCCTGTATTTCCATGTTAATACTACACGGTAGAGATCTCTTCTACTGCAGTAGATTCATGTAATATGCACGTAACTCTGCAAGTTGTCTTAATTACTTCTTCTGTACTCCTGCTCTGCCATTTTCTTGGCTCACAAGAATGTGTTAGTTCCCCTCTTGCAAAAGCCTCACGTTCCTCCTAATTGGATCATCTTCATACAAAGCTCCACTAATATCCAAACCAGCAGAGGGACTTGCTCAAAAAGGAAGTGCTTGTGTGCAGGGACTTATATTTATGTGACTAATTATTAAAACTTTGTGCCTGAATCAGCATGCCAAGGAACAAGCCGAATTGCCAGATCTGTCAAGCTATTAAAGCCGACAGGCAGCATGTGAGAGAAAGAGCATGGCATGAGTTATTAGTGCCCTGGAAATGGGGTGACGAGGCAGAGCTAATAGCTTTGCATTCAAATGATGCCTGAATCTTCAGGCCTAAAGCTACAGGGAAAATGAGGGAAGTAGAGGAACATGAGACAGAGGGCTTTATGCATCTGTACACTTGTATAAATTCTGTGGGAAAACTTACCTGGGTCATTCTTGCAACACACAAACAATCTGTGGTTTTTGTCTGAACTTCCTCTAGGAGCCCATTTTTGGAATAATTGTTCCCCCCGGGCCTCCTGATTTTCAAAACCCAGGAAGAAAATACACAAAGTTGATGTTATTTAGATGGATAACCCAACTGTTTAGCTTCAGTAGCACTTTGAAAAACGATTTCTTTTAGCGCTTAAAACTAATGAGCATTTCTGCCCTTGTGATAGCCCCTGTCTGCTTTTTTCCAGCTGTTACATATGCCAACTGATGCATGCAGCATTTCAATAAAAGTCAGTGAAAACGATAGTAGAAGAATTAATGTTAAGCCAAGTTCATATATGCTAAAAAGAGTGGAAAACCACCCTTCTTTCCTATCCCATTTGGTGGGTGTGGGGGGAATGAACCTGATGTATTAGTGAACTGAAGACGTGATACTGAGTCAGAATTGCTTTGTACAAACCAAGGCTGAGAATACTTCCAGGAGGTTTCAATTATAAGAACAGGATATAATCATGCTATGGGGTAATAGCAAATTCAGTCTCCCGGTGTGGATCCATATGGTGTCATCCAATACATAAGAGGGAGATTATTGGCAAAATAAAAAATAAATAGAAAACCTCCTGAGGTTTGCAAAGCAATACACTAAAAAATAAATTAAAATAAAATAAAATAAATGAAACAATAATATAAAAAATAAAATAAAATAAAATCTTCCCATTAGAGTTCAAAGCAAGAATGCTGGCTGGATTGTTGGAGAATATGAGCCAGAAATGGGATGCAAAGGAACACACACACACACACACACACACACACACACACACACACACATTTCTGGCTGGCTGATTTATAACAAACAATTCTGCAATGTTGTACTAATACCTTAATGTGATACTTAAAGAATCAATCCAGTTCAGTTAGAGCAATTAGAGGTAGTCTGCTCTAATTGATCTCTCGCAGATCTAGTAGATCTGTGGTCCCTTTATGACTTCTGGACTTCAACTCCCAAACCAGCATTTACAGGACCTTAAATCCAACCAGAATGATTTCAAGCAGTGCTATTTTTCTATCTCTACCTAATTAGATCTCAGTGATACATACCAAATCTGTCTATTTCATCATCACTAGATTATAAACACCTTTACTGTAGATGGACATCAGTGGTGGGTTTCAAAAATTTTTAGAACCTCTTCTGTAGGTGTGGCCTGCTTTCCGGGTCCACTGGTGGAACCTCTTCTAATCGGTTCAGTAGATTTAATGAACCGGTTCTACCGAACTGGTGCGACCCGGTAGGAACCCACCTCTAATGGACATGGTATTTTCTATCAGCAGCTAGACACCAAAGCCCCCAACAATTCAATCACTTGGGCTCACAGTAGATGAGATTTGCATCATATGTAATAGAAAAAGGTCCACATTTTGGAACTTACAAACATCCACTGAGAACCACTGTATTTCATTATAGCAGTGTTTTGTATGTGTGTGTGTGGAAATTATTTTTATAGTTTCTCCCCTTATTATTATTATTACAATTTGAACTTATTTTGATTTTGAAGTTATTGATTCTAGCTCTTTTTCATAATTGCACTATGTTAGGGTTAGTTAGGGTTATTATACCCTAACTCTAACTTTAATATGACATTTAAAAAAAATT